AAGGGTTGCCAAGTAACCGAAATCCTTCCCACCATGTCGCTCCTGAATATGGGATTCCTGTCTTTTAAAAGTGCTGAGAAGGGTGGCTTGGTTAGAGCAACCACTGCCAGCTTCTCCACACTGATCCCAGCCACAGGTATTGCATCCTGGGCGAGATCCGACATGGTGATGGTACGATGAGGGATCCAGGAAGACTGTCCCACAAGCACAGCATCGAAACGGATTTCCTTCTGGAAGACTGCTTTGTGTCGCAGTCAGATCTGGAGCCTGGAGGGAGGTTTCCCCACAGCGATAGCCTTCAATACGTTCACAGAGTTTTTCCATTCGAATATTTCTGTGAAAAACAAGCAAAAAGCTGTTGGAAATAAATCCACTTGTTTTCCAAGATTACAGAACACAGCAGACCTGCCTGCTCTTTGCCCTAACGTGCCTCCCGTTGCATAGGATTTATCTGTTAATTGCATTACTGTCGTTTTTTTAATTTATAAAATAGACTGCTTGATTATTGTGTCTAAGTATTTTTTCAAATAGTTATAAAATCGTAGTTATGAAAATGTTGTCCTGTGAAGATTCCATACACACCTTACACCTGAGACTATACACATACGTATACACACAGGGACACATATTAGTATGCACCCAAGCTTGGAATTAGCTCACAACAGTTCAGCGATGGCCAATGGAAAGGAGGACAACATAGGCAGATGGCTCCCGAAGGTCTCGGGATCCGTAAAGACTTGTGATTACAGGCAGCGTTTGAAAGGAGCACACCTTGTGAGAGGTGTAGATGTTCGATGATTTAAGCGACTAATGACGGCAATCTGAGCTGGACTCAAAATCTGAAGGGAAACACATGTGTAATGTTTTCACTGTCCTCCTTTCCACGAACAATTCCTGAACTGTTATAAACAGGGTTTCCATGGGATGGTATATGAACGTCAATAGGTTCCAGTGTATTTTAATGTCAAGACACCTCAGGATGTTCTCCTGACGGAATGATACCTTCTTAAAATGACACTCACCTCCAGTGTCTCCCCTGCATTCTACGCTGCGTATCACTGACATGAAATCCCGAGCTTTCAGCTGACAGGGAGGACCAGGTGTTATGCTTGAAGAACTGCACGATTTGCTCACTCGATAATTGTTCTCCATCCTTCACGTTTTCAGAGACTGACCCAAGAATCCAAGTTAAGGTTCGAAATTTGAAACAGAAAGGAAAGGAATATTAGGGGGCAAGGGTAAAAAGCTAGCTCCATTTCGCAGTTTTAACTACTTTTGCCACAGAGGAACAGTTATTTTCGATGCGATATTTCCATCAGGGTCGAGAGTGATGACTCAAACAGCTGTCACTGGGGGGAGGTGAAGTGAAAGATCCAGAACGTGACAGGCATGAGGCTTTGAAAGAGGGTATCTTTGAGCACAGGTGTGTCTCCCCAAATATCTAAGCAAGCCCGGGCACCTTTGACTGTGTTTTCAAGACAAAGCAAGCACGCACGTTGATTGATTTAAATGCAAATCCTTCCAGGGATGAAGGATCTTTCAAACAAATCTTACTCCGGGTGTTTCTCAACACAGTTGTCTTGGGAATGAACTAC